GTGCGGTGGTCCGCAGCATGGGAAACCGCATCAGCCGAGACGTGACTCAATCCTGCAATAGCATTGACTAGCAGAAGTGGCTCAACTAGGCAGTAGCCAATCAAAGTCTTCTACACTGTAAACTCGTCTCACGACATCTGACCAGTGTTTACCACTAAGCCCTCCACACGATCTGCAGCACATAGTCTGCCCACCCTAACACTTGAAGATTAATTCTTTCGAAGGTAATGCATGTGCACACTTTGGGTTCCCAACGGCACACAGAGAGACGGAATTCACTTCGCTCCTTGCCGACACCACTAAAGTTTTAGGCACTATTGCTGAGTATGGACAGTTGATACCATCTATAGGAGGTGATTTGCATGCCATAAGCACCAATAAAAGTCTAGAACAAATCATAAGAAATTTATCGCAACGGCAATGCCCGACGCAATAGGTTTTAGCAACTGTAAGGTACCCAACAGGCTTGCATGTGAGCTCCCAGAACAAAAACATACATCTACTACAGCCACCAAAAAATAAAACCGCGCACGATGAATGTCGCAATATATGCATATAGCATGAGTAGTAGGTAGCAAGGGCGTGGTGGCGTAGGACAGGGACGAAATTGTGGTGTCCTTGTGTATGATCAGAGAAAATGGGGGAGGGGGCGTGGAGCAAGGGCCCAACAATCAATAAGAGAACGGTGAAAAGTTTGTTAGATGTTGGAGGAGGGTGAAGGGGAGAGGAAGGAGGAGTAACAGTCCACGCGAGCTATAATACAGGAGTTGAGAAAGACTCTACTGATCATTACTAGTGTTGTTGTTGGCGTTGCCAGCGTTGGAAGCGTGGTGGGTGAAGGCGTTGTCGCCTCGACGAGATGACCTTGAGGATGGGGCGCTGCGACCAACACTACCGCTACCCCCAACGAGGCGAGAGTGACGACGCGGCCGAATACCAGACAGACGAGGGACATCAGAAGCGGTGTATGAGCTGAATGACTCAACACGGCGACCAGAATTTGTTACACTAGTGGATGCACGTGATCGCCCGCCACTGCTATCACCTGGTCGAGCTACACGACAAAAGTTTCAGTTATCCATATTGAGAATCAAATCTGTTTTAAATTTCAAATGGGAAACCTTTACACGCACAACAGTTCCAAATTTTGAACCCGACATCTGAAGAAACTTTAAACTCACCGCTAGTACGTCTAAGAATTCGACCCTCCCTAAAAAACGAATTGAAGGTCTCCCTTTGATGAGAGAGTTCTTCCTCAGTCTCATCTACTACTGCCTCCTCTTCTTCTTCTTCTTCTTCCTCCTCCTCTTCTTCATCATCATCCTCATCCTCGTCATCGTCATCATCGTCGTCGTCATCGTCATCAACTTCCTCCTCCTCGTCCTCATCATCATCCTCAGCGTTCTGTTCCACATCTTCCTCAAATCCATCGTCTTCCATCGTTGCAGTCATCAGTTCTACTTCGGCCTCCTCGTCCAACGACTCAATTTCTTCCTGATCATCTTCAAGCTCCTCATGATGATGCAGTTGAACGCCCTCCTCCATGGAGATGTCCTCTACCTCATCCTCGTCTGTTGAAGGCAAGGTCTCCACAGGTGCATAGCGCATAATTGGACGTGAGCCAGGGTTGCCAGAAGGAGCATGTCCCCGACGCCAATGCCTTCGAGAACCGTTGGAAGCTGGTGGAGTATAAAGGTGTCGTTTCGGTGGGCTTACACGTCCATTGGGAATGCGATCATTGCTTGCTACGGAGTTGTTATTATTCGTCTGTGAGGCCATCTCCTGGTGTCCATTAGAAGACTCGCTGGAGTGGAATGCTACTGGAGTGTGGGAGGAAGGCGGAGGCGAGGAAGCTGTGTGCTGCAGACGAATCTCCGTGGTGTATTTGGATGGGGAAAGGTGGTAGAGAAGGAAGTGACCCAAGATTTGAGCCTCTTGAAACTCATGATTGGCAAAGCATTTCTGTAGGGCATACAACGCTTGTTCAATTGCAGGCTGGGGTGGAAGATGATGCGCCTCAGCTGAAATTTCAGCGAAATGAGTAATAAAACGTCAGAAGCCAATTCAAAAAAGAATAACATGAAGAAATACTACTTATCCACCACTTTACTAAGGGGAGAGATAGGAACTTAAGCTTACAGATTGCGGATTGGACAAAGAGGCTACCAACAACTATACGACTATGACAGATAGGAAATAGCGTTGCGCACAAATAAATGGCACTGGCAGATAAATAAGCCACTCACGATATGAGAGGAAATTGCTTTAACAATGCCTTGGCCTCCAGAAGTGCGACAACTTCTGAACTGAATGCTCAAGCCAGAAGAAAGGAAGGAACAGCTGCGCAACGGCCTACCAACTAAGCATAACAAAAGGTTCTGCAGCTATGTTCGAAAGCTAGCAACTGAGCGATCTACTGATAAGAGCGACCAAGGGATCCCACTCATAACAATGACTTTCAAGGACATCACAGCGTTACGAAAGTACAAGTGACAGGGAGCCGACTCAGTTTTACTGAATTTCACTTCCTTTCTAGGAGTAGGACCAGAAGTTAATGTGTACAAGAGCCTCTTGAAACTAGCTTGCTCACATGAAACCCTTAAAAACTATTCCTCATTATTCAGTTTAGTAAATCCACTATAAAGAACGAGAGAATGCTGTCATTAAACTTTGAACACCGTCATTATTTCCAAAGGCAACAGGAGATGACGATAAAAATAAATGACGGGAAAGGGGGAATGAGCTTACTGAGAATTGCACTGTTGATAAGGCTGGCGATATTATCTCGCCAAGATGGATCAAGAAGGCACCTCAAAGGACACTCAGGGGACGAGGGCGAAGGGTAGGCCATCAAACTCACCGATTGCTAAACAGGGAAAGGCAGCAAAGGAGAACAGTGAGAGTTTGAATAAAATATCATTATTGCATTTTAACAACGCAACTCACTTCCAGAAGATGCTCCGTTTCAGGAGACAGGGAGCCGCACTTATCTTTCACCTGTTTCGCCAAATCCACCAGCGAGCGACTGAATTGGATTTGTCGCAGAAGACGACTCTTTTCTTCAACATTGCCGTCTAGAGAGGAGCTTTGCGAATTCAGACCTTTTGGCTCTAGAGAGGAGGAACTTTGAGAGATCAGGCCTTTTGGAGGGGCGTTGGCAAAGGCAGGCATCGATGCAAGATCACCTACAGAGAGCGGTATGATGTTAGACCGCCTACGCGGGAGGAATTTAAGATGGCTGCACAATGCAAAATAAGGCAGTGTGCAATTTATGGTGCAAAATAAGAACAGAAAATTGCATATGTATGAAGCACTGGACACAAAATCAACGCCCTTAATTGCAGCAGAAAAAGACTTGCTATAACTGCATACGAACTTGTGTCATCCAATCGTCAAGGTCTAAAGAAGTGTACTCACTGCTGGCACTTTCCGTCTCCATGGGAGACGGAGACGGAGGCTCCTGGTGATGGCTGAGACTGCCAGCAATACCAAAGCCATCGTCATCGTCATCTTCTTCTTCGTCACATTCTTCAGAGGCCAATTGGTGTCCTGCATCATTGGTAGCGGTAGTGGAGAGAGCAGAGAAGGAGGGAACGTCAGTGGCCGCACCAAAGGAATGCTGCTCCTCGGAACAGAGCTGGGAGTTAAGAGGGTGGTTACCGCTTGCCTCCAACGCTAGACTGCTATCGATGTCCATTGCATCGCAGGAGGTAGCCGCCGAAGAGCCAGGTGTAGAAAAGCGCGCCTGGAAGGGAGACGACAGCGCTCTCCCATTCAAATTAGTGCCCTCCTTACACTCAAGGAAGAACTTTAATATTTGAGAAGACCCAAAATTAATCACCCAATCTAACTTTTATATTACAAAAGTATCAACTAGTCAATTAAATTTGGAAGGTAACAG